AATACTTCCTTAATGGGACTCTCTGCAATTCAAGGCATGTAACTAAACCCCCATCATTTTTTGCCTAGGTGAGGTGTTTTTAAATAAAACTATTACAATCTCTAAGATTTGAAATCATTGTTTAGTGAACAAGCGAGTGCGCTGGATTCTGTATTTTGTATATTTTGGCCCCAGCATCACCCTATAATGTATGCATTTTCAGGTGAGTGCAGCCCTCTTGGTTTTATATATATATATATATATATATATATAATTGCTTTTTTTCTACTTCAAAATATTGGTCGTTTCAAGGTTAAAAAAATAAATTATACACAGTAAGCAGACACAGACAATCTCACTGACACAAGCACATTGATACACAGGCTCACAGACAGACAATCTCATTGATACATATAAGCTCCCAGACATGAAAACACAAGCTTACAGATAGGCTCACTGCCAGACAATCTCACTGACACACACAGACAAGCTTACTGTTACACACACAAAAGCTTACTACAGAAAAAAACATTGGTATACAAACAGAAGCTAACTAAAGACAAGCTTATTGTCACACATGCTCACCGACACACATACACATGCTCAAAACAGACAAGCTCACTGGCACACACATGCTCACTACAGACAAGCTCACTGACACACATGCTCACTACAGAAAAGCTAACTGACACACACAAGCTCACTAGACAAGATCAGTGACACCATACACTTACTATAGACAAGCTCATTGACATATACAAGCTCACTTACACACAAACTCACTTACAGAAAAGCTCACTTACAGACACATATGCTTCATACAGAAAAGTTCACTGACACACAAATGCCGACTACAGACAAGCTCACTGTCACACACATGCTCACTAAAAAACAAGCTCACTGACACACACAAACTCACTACAGACAAGCTCCCTGACACACACATGCTAAGTACAGACAAACTCACTTACTCACGCAAGCTCACTACAGACAAGCTCACTGACACACCCAGGCTCACTACAGACAAGCTCACTGTCATAAACATGCTCACTGACACACTCAAACGCACTACAGACAAGCTCTGGGACACACACAAGCTCGCTATAGACAAGTTTATTTACACACACATGCTCCCTACAGACAAGCTCACTGACACACAAGCTCACTTACACACGCATGCTCACTACAGACAAGCTCACTGACACAAATGCTAACTACAGACAAGCTCACCGACACATGCATGCTCAGGCACATACATTCTCAAAATCACTGTGATGGGCTGAAGCCTACCTGGCATTGAACACTGTGGGGGCTATTTCCTGCCCTCTTCCTGCAAGCGAGGTCAGCAGCTTGAGTGCGGGGGCAGAGCTTGCGTGTGTGGGTGGAGCAAGTGTGTGAGAGGCAGTCTTTGAATGCAGAAGTGGCCCGAATTGCTGAAAATTGCTAAATGCGGCCGCATGAGCCCCCAGCACCTCCCTCCTTAATTCTCTTGGACTGACACAGGCTGTCACAGTCTGAGGGGAAAAAGATTAGGGCTGGCTGCCTGGCTGCACCTGAGCACAACACATCCTGTGCAACACATTTAGAACTTATCATGAATCTCCAATATTACTGGTACTACATCACCGTGAGACTCACATGTTTACGAATGCATCCAACAGGTTTTGGAATCACAAAGCATCATGGGAGTTGTAGTTCTACAACATCTGGGGATCTACCTTTTGGGCACCCCTGGTATACATCATTTGAATATACATGATATGTGTACAGAGATTAGTCACATTAGAGATTCTTATTGTGCTTGTAAAAGTTAGTGATAGAGAGAAAAAGTGAATACAAATACAGAACGATAAGTCATGCGCTCACTCCCATCACTTCTGGGCGGCAGCAACGACTACAGTACACATCAGCCACAATATATATAGTAAAAACCAAAGAAAAACAACTTATCTGCGCTCTCTCCTTAATCCCTATGTATATTTAAACAAATGGAGGTCATTTAGTTACTCCAATGGCCATTGGAGGGAATGCCCGCCTGCCAACGTCAAGGCATACCCCCCTAAGCGGGTCCTACACTGACCCTTCACCTTGCTTCCTTGAGCTTCTGGCAAGAGAGAAAATAGAGAAAATGTAACTTTTATTCAAATCATCAAACAGTAACTAATATCAGTTCTCACTAAAGTGTTTACAAGCCCAAAATATAAAAAAGTGTGTAACTGTTACACTTTAGTGCTGCTAATAAAAAATAAAATAGGATGTGCAAGATATTATTAGGTAAATCGACCAAACAAACAAGGGGACTTTAATGTTTGTGATGTTTGAGACTCCAGTTTCTCATAGTACATGTACATGTAAGGAGAAAGCATAGTATTATTATAGTACAGTATGGTTATACAATTCCTCAAACACAGACACACACAATAAGTGAGCAGACTTAGTGGTGCTGTCACCATAGAAATATTAATTGAGTACTCCAGTCACAGCAATCTCCAACAGTATACGCATAAGGAGCAAAAAAATGAGAATATCAGAGAATTAAAAGCAAGTAACCTTTATTAAAACAAAAAGACAGTAAATGCTTACTGTGATGGTTTCTGCAGGGTGTTTTTCTTAAAACAGGGTAGATATTGAGTTTTGTGGTCACCTTTACTGCAGAGGTTCTGTGACGTTTGGGCACACTGCTTGTTTGAGGGTCCCTATCGTTCAGTTTCAGCTTTTATCCACTATTCTTCTTTGCCAGTTCCACACTGTTTAACCTCGCAAATGCTCTACTTCAGGGGGGTGAGGTCAAAGTGACGTATCAGCTTCTTCAAATTGCATAGGACACTCCTCACTACCTCTCTTGCTCCAGACTGCAAACTGCTTTCCAGCAGCCAAAGGCCCTGTCATGTCACTGCAATCATGTGACAGTAGAGATCAGGGCGGGAGACTCAAATCAATGGGAATGTGCCTACTGACTATGTAGGGCCTTTCCATAGTGTGTCTAGGACCATCCACACAGACTTCCTGGAATTTCATGTCTAAACAAAGACATTTCACTTACATTTTCTGACAAGTTCAAAAGTTGCCACACCGCCTCTGATTGCCATGGCTCCTTTGGAGCAGTTTTTTTTGGCATTCTCTCTTCAAAGATTATTTTTATTATGCCAGCCATGTTTTCTGGTGAAACGTATTTCACCATCATGTCAAGGAAACTTGGATGTTTCCTGAAATTCTTGAGCAGGATGAGTCCATGCTGTCTGACTTCTGGAATAGGATCTTCAACTAGAGTGGAAAGGACTGGCAGAGCCTTTTTCTTGACATTCCAAGCACTCCACAGAATTTGACTTGCTCCCATTTGCTCCACCGACAGGCGAAAAAATTTGGCAGCACATTCCCTTACTGCACTGTTGGTGTTTGTAAGTGCAATAGTGGGGAAATTAGCCAGCACACATTCAGGTGTCAAAAACTCGAGTGCTGTGGAAAGGGCCTTGTCCACTTTCCTCATTATAGTGCTGGTTGATTTTCCAGCTTTCAGCAGCAGCCCCAAGAGACACTCATCCTGGTCATCTAGCATGCTGCTTTTCAGCTGGCTGAACAAGCTCTCCATGCAGTTGATTGCAGCCACAGAGACATCCAGCCTTATGGCAGATAATTCCTTATTCACAGCTACTTTGATATCCTTTAGATTAGAATTTAGCAGCTGTGGTTTTGTTACAGAGAGTTTTTGAATGATATTAAGGCCTTCAATCTTCTGATGCCCTTCATCGCTAGAAACCAATTTAAATGCCTGTAAAAGGGAGGTATTTCTAGGTGGAGGCTGTGATGACTGTTCCAGCATCTTAAATTTTTGGAAATTGGAATAAGGGGCTGTCCGTTTCGTGGGCTCCTTTGGAGGTGAAGGCTTATAGTCACCAGTAGTAATGGAGACCCTGCTCTCCTTGGACGGTGGCGTGGGATCCTTAGTGAGTTTCAAGCGGACGTTTCCTGCTTGACTTCCATTTTGAATCCCTTTCACCTTGAAATTTCTCAGTTTTCGCATCTGATGGTTTGATGCCAGTGGCGGCAAGGGTTGGTGCAAAGGTTCTCTGCAGATCTTGTTATTGGTGGTGGAACCTTTCATATAGTCTTTGCCCAGAGAGGGATGCATGCTCCTACGCACAGAGGACTGGTCTACCTTTGTCCTAACCTGCCTAGTATAGTCCTGAGAGCAAGAGCCCATTGGCTTTAATTTCAGAAGGTCGTCCTTTTTCATATTTAGGAATAAATTCCTTTAACGCTTTCAATAAAAGATAAAATATAGTCGTAATAGTTTTCAGACTCAAAAGTCAATCTCTTCTCTAGCTTGGCGAGCCAAACTGTGAGCACTCTGTGCATCACCAGGCAGTAATGCTCTAATCCTTTGTGATGTAATAGAACATTAACCACTACCAGTGAGGCTGGCATCATATGAAAACCTGCATAAATGCAAATAATACCTATTGCAGGACTATTTAAACACAATTACAACTGTATAAATCTATTAGAAATAAAAACAAAATCTGTGTTCTCTGTTCAGTGTTATACCCAGCGCCATGCTAAAAAGCCACCAAACTGACATGGTTATTCACTCAAATGTGAACTATTATACTAGTGAGTTAGTAGGCTATTCCCCAAAGGATTATTTCAAATGACAGAATAGAATTGAAAAGGCTGTGCCAAAATACTATTATCACACTATATAATATTATAGAAATATTAACCAAAAATTATCAAAATATAATTTTTAAAAAAAAGGCAAGGTATAGAAGGGGTATAAACCATAAGCACCGGTAAATATAATCACAGCACCTGCACCAGGACCAAACGCATGCTGTACATTGTTTTTTTATTTTATAATCTGTTGATTTATTTCTTATAAAGGACTATACATTATACACTTGTACACAATACAATTGAGCACTAGAACTTACATTCCATATTGTTGTCAGTGACCATGGTAAAGTTGACAGTGAATTTCTATTAATAAAAAAATAAATTTTCCCTTGATATAGAAACTGAGTATTAAAGGAACACTATAGTCACCTAAATTACTTTAGCTAAATAAAGCAGTTTTAGTGTATAGATCATTCCCCTGCAATTTCACTGCTCAATTCACTGTCATTTAGGAGTTAAATCACCTTGTTTCTGTTTATGCAGCCCTAGCCACACCTCCCCTGGCTATGATTGACAGAGCCTGCATGAAAAAAACAAAACTGGTTTCACTTTCAAACAGATGTAATTTACCTTAAATAATTGTATCTCAATCTCTAAATTGAACTTTAATCACATACAGGAGGCTCTTGCAGGGTCTAGCAAGCTATTAACATAGCAGGGGATAAGAAAATCTTAATTAAACAGAACTTGCAATAAAGAAAGCCTAAATAGGGCTCTCTTTACAGGAAGTGTTTATGGAAGGCTGTGCAAGTCACATGCAGGGAGGTGTGACCAAGGTTCACACACTAGCTTTTTTTTTCCAATGTCTGGCAATAACTAGATTGGCAGCAGTTAAAACATGGGTAATTATTATTTTCTCACATTTGGTTTTCTGTGGCCATTTAACTTGAAGTAAAAATGGTGAGAATGGTAACTTAGATTTGATTTGTTTCCCCAGTTGGTTATTTAATCTCCCCCTCCCCCCAAATTTCTGTATATTTGCACACCTTCACTAGATATGACAATAATTTGCATTAGGCATAGCTCATCTCTAGCATGATGATTTTTTTTATTTTTGCTAGCCTCCTAGGGGTTAAATATCATCTGTTAATGGCCTTAAAGTGGTTCTCTATAATGTTCGAACAGTGTACTGAGAAAGTTAAGTTTTTGAGTGAATTTATTAGGTCAGATTCTGTTAGGATAACATTTAAGGCTTTCTCCCATTTACTGTGTAGGTTCCTGTCTATTTTTGGGTCTAAGGATCTTTTAATATTTTTAGCTTTTGAGATCATCCCTTTATCCGTGTTCTGTGTCATAATATTAGCTAGGTATTAAAATTAGCTAATTAAGGTATTGTTGCCTTGATGGAGCTTTTTGTCCAGGGGAAGTTTTTATGTTCTTATATGTATATAAATCTTTTAACACCCCTATTCCTTTTTGGTTCCCATTGGTTTATACATGTCTTGCATGTTTGTCACCTGGGACTGTATTGGGAAATAGTTAGGGACCTTATTTTGTTTTTCCATCTTGTACTTTATATTATACCAAAATTGAATCAACTGTTGGATCATCATAGAGAATACTTCTTGGTCCCCCTTGGTCCGTGTGTATTAACCATGGGATAATATTCTTTAATCTATTTGCCAAAATGGATGAGAACATTTTTATTTCTTTATTTAAAAGTGAAATAGATTGGTAGTTAGTTATGTGATTGAGATTTTTATCTGGTTTTAACAGTGGAATCGTGTTGGCAAACAGCATTTCTTTTGGAAAGTAATTGTTTGCTATAATTTTTAAGTAATTTGCCTGTTAGTTGGTCTTTGAATATCTTCTAAAATAAGGTGGTGTAAACATATGGTCAGGGAGCTTTGTCTTTTTTTAAAATTATCAATAACTTTATTTATTTCTTCTATTTGAATTGGTTGATTTAGGTTATTTATTTTGTCTGCATCCAGTTTTGGAAGTTGTCTGCCGTTTAAATATTATTGTGGTTTATGTGATTCTGTGGTTTATGTGATTCTGTGTTTTGGAAGGTTATATAATGATTGATAGTATTTACTAAAGGCTTTTCCTATCTTTTTAGGTGAATCATAGATTTTAGTTTTTATATCTAAGTTGTGTATTTCCCTGTTGATCTTTTCCCCCCTTAATTTTGAGTTAGTAATTTGTCTGCCTTATTGCCCTTATAGTACCAATTTGTCTTTAAATAGTCTAGATTTTTCGATCTCTGTTCTAAAATGATCTCATTGATTTATTTTTGATCTCCATTATTTGATCTGTTCTAACTTATATAATAACACAAATATATATACATACACATTCCACAAATCTTTGCACTGCAGGCTAGAAGTTCCAATAGGTTAAATGCTGGGTGCCAGGTCCAGGTCATTCATATACAATTGTATGCCAATTGATGATCCGCACTCTCAGACTCCAATTAAAATGTAACTTTTATTCCTTACAATAAAAGAAAAATAAAGGTGCCATAAATCGTCAACGTTTCAGTCCCAGGTCGGGACTTTCCTCAGGACAGGTATTCTGTATATATAATATAACATATATAATTCTGTTAAGGGGAGAACTCTTTTCTTTTTTTAAAATTAGGCCTATTTTGATGAGATGTCCTCTCACGATATTCTTCATGGTGCACCATACTATAGGGAAGAACACTTCCTTATCTTTGTTTTCCCTAAAAGAAAGATCTATCTCTTTCCCTATTTGCTCCCTATTTTGCTTATCTTATATAATGTTGTTATTTAGTCTCCACTTATTTATTTTCCCTATTTTTTTCTTGTTTAGAGTATCCATAACTATATAGTAGTGGTCTTACCAGGTAGTCTCTTTAATGGAAATCTTATTAACTTTATTTTTCATATTTGGGTTAATAAAAAAGGGTCAATCCTTAAGTATATGAGAAAGGTTCTAGAGAAGCAAGTGTAATCTTTTTCCAATGTACAGTATGTAGTATTTTCCTGATATAATTCAAATTGTATCTGTTTATAGTTTGTTGGAATTGTTTTGCAGATAGATTCACTTGTTTACTATGCAACACCTTCCTAAATCCAGATTAAAAATTCTGTTAAAATCTCCAGCTTTAATTAATTCACCATGTCAGATTTTTTCAAAAATATTTCTGAAACAAATTATTTGAAGAACCATTGGGGGCATATAGGTCTACCAGGGTATATCTAAAGTTCTCAATATCACAGATTAAAATTATGAACCTACTCTCCCTTTCAACCACATGATGTATCCTGTGGATGTCCAGATCCTTGTCTATAAGGACACCTACTCTTCTTTTTTTTTATGTTCCAAAGATGCTGTTATCACTTGCGTATATCTAGCTGGTATGAATATAAGGTTACCTGTTTTTTTTTCCAGTGGGTTTCTTGTAAGAAACAGACGTGAGCATTTTCTTTGTTTTTTAAGGTGTTTAAAAACCATAGTTCTTTTATTAGGGGAATTCAGTCCTTGTGTGTTGATAGTAATAAATCTGACCATCCCTAGCCTACATCTGGAGTCAGTTGGAGAAACTGCACCGATCCCATGCATCTGTAAAAAAAGGACATACATATAAACTTACATAAAAAACATAAAACATGGATTTCCTTGTTATAGGAAATCCAATGTGGCCATGCCATTTATGAGGCACTGAACCTAGACTTTTATCATACAGTCTAAATATGGGAGCTCCCCTACTGACCTTGACGAGAAACTTTCTTAGGAGAAGTTACCTGAGGAGGTTGCGGAGGACAGGAAGAGGGGAAGGAAGGTGGGGGAGAAAGGGAGAGAGGAAGAGGGAGAGAACAAAGGAAGAAAAATGTATTCAATAATTCTCTCCTTTGTCCAAACTCTACATATCTCAGGGACAGTATAGCTTTGTTGTTCCTTATTTTACATCCTGATAATTTACAAATAATGCATTTATAATAAGAACTATGCATTTCTATATTATATATTTATAGTTGTATCCTTTTAAAAGAAAAAAAAGGAAAAATGTAAATCTTCTCTCTCTCGCTCTCTCTCTCTTCCTTCTCTCAGTCCAGATTTACATATCTTAGCAGCTGTACCTCTTCATTATTCCTTATTTTGCATTTTGAATTGTTTATAATTTAGTGAATTTACTACCAATTTATTGCCAAAAAGTTATCAAGCATCCTACATTTCCATACTAAGTACCAATGTTTCCATTTTAGGTGAAAGAAACAAATTAATCACGATGGTTGGGAATTTAGTGACAGGTTTTAGGGGGTAGTTAGTCAGCATGTTATGGCCCACAGATAGGTTACTGCGCGTTAGACCAAAATATAGGTGAAGTAGGAACTCCAACTAGGGGATAATAGTTTAACCAGCAGAGGGTGTGAGTTGTATATCAAGCTGCTTAATCTTAACACCACTGAGGCTTAATGATTGCTCAGATTATTTTAGCATATAATATTAGCAATGTCGTATCATAATAAAGATGGAAGTAAGTAAGTAAAATATAAGTAAGTGAGCGTTAAAATTATCTGTTGGTTGACATGCAGCAAGTATTCAGGTGGGCTATTAAGCGAGTCAGTGTTCCAACTTGTGGAAGGCTTGGGTTATTAAGTTCCGAGTCAACTGATGCCATGGCTTGGAGGAGGACGAAAGTGGCTCTGCGGCAATGTGAGACTAGGTCCAAGCAAGACTGCCACCCAGCCCCAGGCCGTCATGAAGACCTGCAACCAGCTTCCACGAACTTGGGAACACCCAGAGGATACCGAGTTCTCCCCTATAGGGGGATGGCAGTTGATCATGATGGGCTGTCGCCGCCTGCGGTGTAGGATCTTCCACGTCGGTGGTCGATGCACCGGGATAGAGTCCCTTTTGGTCTTCAGCCCAGGTAGGCCACAGGTATGAGGCTGTAGCAATGTTTCTGAAGGAGCGCCCAGGGAGGGCTCTCTCATCTCCCACCTCGCCTCCTTCCACTCTCCAACCGGCATCGTTGGTATCTCAAGGCGGGCTGATAGTTTGGCCCAGAAGTTGTCAAAGATCATGGCCAGGCATTGCTTTATGGACTTGTATGCTCCATGTGTAGTCTTGGTAGGTTCTTGTGCACAAGGTGGTAGAATGTCCGCCATCTTGTGGGATTCTGCCTTTTCCACTGCCTGTGTCAATGTTGGTGCTGGAAGACAGCAGAGAGTAGTGTGGTTCACCAGTGGGATATGGGATAACCCTCACCGGTTCAGGGGGATAGCTTTTCGCCAATCAGAGAACTGGGAGAGCGGCCGTCTCTCCTCAGCTCAAGCTCAAGTAGGCCGTGAGCCCCGGTCTGGATACCTAGAGTAGAACTGGCTTGTGTCGGGTATCTTTGGGTGCACCGTCGGCAGCTTATTAGGGTGAGCACTGTTAAGGGTCAGAATGAGCCTATACCCCCCCAGCTAGACCCAGGTTTTTGGTGCCAGGTGTGCGCGCTCAAACCGAGCACGTCTGATCCGACCGGCAGTCAAGCTCCGCCCCCCAACTAGAAGATTTGAAAATATTCTCCAACTCATGTATAGTTACCTACATTTTATAGGTAATCTACAGTTACCCGCAGCTCTGGTTTCAATTCCCTACAAGGGTTTGGATTATTTTTACAAAGGATAAGATAACTATAAGTATTTGTGCCAACATTACCAGTAGTCCTTTCACGATTAAGTTTAATTTTTGTTAAAGGAACACCTCAAGCACCATAATAACTACATCTAGTTATAGTGGCTATGGTATCAGCAGTAATCAGACTATGTTTCACTGTAATCAGTCAAACGATTTTTGAATGGTTTGACGTCT